TTTGCATCCATTGACATGTTTTGTCTTTTTTGGTAGTAACTAGTTATTGCACACTTGTATTATACGTGAACTATTTTGAACTATAATTTTAGTTTTTTATTTTTTATTTTTCTCGATATGATCAGGTAGACAATGGATTGGTCATATATTCTTCTATTTGCTAAGCATGGATAACAAAAGGTTGGGTAGATCTGAGCTTTCAAAACCAACAGAAATGAACAATCAATATAATTTTTGTCTTTTGTATTAAAATGGTCTCTGAATTTTCAATTTTCTTAATTTATTTTCTCAACTATTAATTTTGTGTTAATTAAATCTTTCTGTCAATTTTAGTCGTTAAAAAAAACAGAGTCAAGCCATGTGTTTGTGCTTGTCCACATTATATGGTGTTGTTTGTTCTCATGGCTGAAATTGAAAAGAAAAACACTTAATTGATACGAAATTAATAGTTGAGGGACTAAATTGAGACAATTAAAAATTCAGAGACCATTTTAAAATATGAGGCAATGTTTAAAGGTCTAATTATGATATTTACCTTTTAAAAAATTGAGATTGGTGCTATGTAACCCAAACCAAATTTGCATCCCAAATGAGGATTCGAATCCCCTCCATTACCCCTTCTCTTCAATTTTTCTCAATACAATACTAGATGAGTGACATGTGTAAGATTCTGAATTTCAATGGACAAGACTTTTTCTTTGTGGGAAAATTCCTTAATAATAGTTAGCACTCTACCAATAATAAAATGAATGAGAAAAAATTGTCCATTAAAATTCAAAATTTTACACATGTTACTCATTTAGCACTGTATTGAGAAAAATTGAAAGGAATGAGTAATGGAGAGGATTTACATCCCCCAAATGAATGGGGACTATTGGATTAGTAAATCTCATTTAAAAAAGTTGATAAGACTCACTCATCTAATGATCCATTTTATTTGAGATATAAATTTAAATTTAGATTATATAGTATTTCTTAAATTGAATAATGCATAAAACATCTGTGAGTTCTACCTAGTGGAGGTTGTCAGTCTCTCTCCTTAGGTTTTTAATGGATGCTTTCTAGATCTTTGTGTAAGTCAAAGTGTTTAAATGTTGTCTTTTGTCATTTATATTCGCCGGATCTACTAATTTGTCATTTGGATTACTTGGTTGTCCATTGAATCTCTCTTTTCATCTGTACTGTCAATTGTGGTTTGTTTTTTCGTCTCTTTTCTCTTCTTTTTGGTCTCTTTGTCTTTGTTGGCCTTTTTGTCTTCTTTCTGGTCATTTTTCCTAGTTGGCTTCTATGTTTTGGCTCTTCCTTGTTTTTTTTGGTTCTATTTTCATTATTATCTTATGGATGATAATTTAATAGGCAAACTTCATTCCTTCTCTTTGACCTCTGCAAAAGAAAAAGTTTTAGAGTTTAAGGAGAAGGATATCATTGATGGTGTTCTAGAATGTACTGAAAGTGTTTACAGCAAAGTTCTTACTGATAAACATGCCAACATAGGAGTGTTGAGGAGTACTTTATCCAGTGTGTGGAAATGTTCTGGTTTAAAGATTAGTAAAATTTCAACTGATATCTTTCAGTTCTTTTACTAGAAGGATAAGGATATGTAGATGGTTCTCAATCAAGGACCATTGTGTTTCAACAATCAACTATTGATTTTTAGGAAATGGTCTCAAAGTCAAGCTATAGAAGAAATGAAGTTTGAATCTTTTTTTTCTAAATGGTCTCCTGTGGGAATGTTACACGAAGTATATGGCTCTTACAATCTTAGGGAGTTGTTAAAATTGCAAATTATTTGAGATTAAAGAAGTTTCAAGTGAAGGAAAAAGCTTCTTGAGAGCCTTTCACAAGGCCTCTGTTGCTAGGTCTTTCTCTACTATTTTCTCCTTTCCTTGTGGCTCCGTGTGGAGCTTAATGTTCTAGAACCTCTTCGGCGGGGAATCAAACTCAAGAATCAGGAAGGAAAGTTAAGTTTTGCCCAATTCCAGCATGAAAGACTGCCTTTCATGTGTTTCCATTGTGGCATGATGGGGCATATAGCGAAGGTATGTTCCCTAATAGAATCAAATGAGGTGGGGACTAATAGAATTACAGTCAGTATGGGCCTTGGCTTGTTGCAATGGTTCGTCATTTGACATGTATTTTTTAGCACTGGCAGTCGGTAATTGAGCAAGAGGATGTCACGATGGTTGGTTTGGAGGTTATGACGAATGGTGTTGAGAATGATTCATGCCAGGATTTAAGGAACGTGGTAAATTCAAATGAAGTGGCGATCATGCTTGACCATAAGAGTGTTTTCAATCCGACATGTGTACTAAATCAGTGGATCACTCAGATGATAAGCTACTTCACTAGGCGAGGAGGGAGCCAATTATCAATACGTTGGGCCTCTATCCCCCACTATAAGATGGACTTCTTTCAATGGGCAAAGTGAGAGAACAACAATTAACTAAAGATACGAATCTGGTGGAAGTGGGCCTCCAATTGTTGATCCATTCGGAATTCAATATGGATTAATTACAATCTATTGGGGTTGAAGGTTCAAGGCAATAGTATGCACTTTGAGTGAGAGAGTACCCAAGAAAAACACAAGGCTTGAACCGTGATTCAAGTTTGTGTGATGTGTAAGGTCGGAGCCAAGGGTAGCATAAGCAACCAAAGACCCTTAGTTTCGAGTAATTTGGTGTTGTGAGAAATATTTTGTTGTAGGGTGAGGAGAGATTTAAGGTGGGAGTGGGCATTCTGTTGATGAGGCAGACGGTTGTGGCAAAGGCATAGGTCTAGTGGGAAAGGGGGTAAAGAAGCATGAGTGAGTAGGGCAAACCTTGTTTTGACTATATGAAAATGTCTTCTTTCGGAGTAACTGTTGTGTTCAGGTGTGTGAGGTGGAGTGGTGAGATGAGAGATACCATTGGTGGAAAGAAAATGAGCTAGGGAGATGTACTCACCACCATTGTCAGAGTATAGGGTTTCGATGGTTAAATTGAAGTGTTTTTCCACAATGGCTTTGAATCTTATAAATACTTCTTTGATTTCAGATTTGTGATTGAGTGGGTAAAACTATATATATTTAGTGAAGTGATTAATGAAGATTGCATAATATTTAAATCCATTATTTGAGAAAATTGGAGAGGTCCATACATCTGAAAATATGATTTCAAGAGGTATAGTAGAGACAACTATAGAGTTGGAGAAAGACAATTTGTGACTTTTGTTGCAGAGACAAGCATTACATGAGAAATCAGGAGATAAAGAGGAAGATAAGCCTAAATGATTACTAGAAACAATATGTTTGAGAATTGGAAAAGTAGGATGTCCTAATCTATGGTGCCAGTCAAAGGAAGTGGTCTTTATTGTGGAGAAGGCAATCAAAGGAGTGGAGGTTGGCCATTCACATACACCATCTTTAGTTCGTCCTTTCAGCAGTGTTGCCCCGGTGCGAAGTTCCTTCACAAGAAAAGTGGATGGTAAGAACTCTATGGAAACATTGTTAGAATTGCAAAATTGTGATATAGAGATTAGATTCTTTTTCATATATGGAACACAGAGAACATTGTTTAATTTATATGTACTGTGAGGAGTTTTGGGAGAGGTGGAACCAGTGTGGGTGATGGGAAGATTAGAGCCATCTCCGATCATGATGCCATTAGTGCCAATGTTTGGAGCATGTAGTGAAAGATTGCTCAGATTAGATGTTACATGGTGAGATGCACCGCTGTCCAGAAGCCATGATGGTGCGGTGGAAGGATTGGTGGCAAGGTGAGCTGATTGCCATGGTGTGCCAGGTTGAGAAGAGCTGGATGTGTGAGAAGTGTGAACTGGTACTAGTCAATATGATGGACAACATTTGACAGTGTAACCCTGAATCCTGCAAATTTGGCACTGAGCAAGGTATGGTCTGGGAGGATGGCGAGAGCCTTGTGATGAATAAGGTTCTGCATTGGTTGCAGTAGGTTGGCGGTTGGCTGAGCTGAAGGATGGGTGCCAGTTGGTGGTGGTAGTGCCTTGTGGTTGAGAAGGACGCCAATTTTTGGTGTTGGTTCGGGATGTAGGATTTGCAGTAGTTGGAAATTGGCGTGACTCGGTTGGGATTGCTTGAAGAGAGGCTTCAAAATTGAGGAGTTTTTCGTGAAGTTCTTCAAAAGTGATGGACATATCTCTAGCTTGGACAACGTGAACTAATTCCTTGTAATCATCACCGAGACCATCTAGAATTTTGTCTGTGATTTCTTCTTCATCAATGGAGGCTACAAGAAGAGCAAGATCATCTGTTCAAATTTTGATGGTTTGCATAAATTCAGTAATGTTAAGGGAGCCTTTGGAGGTGGTCTTGATTTGGTTTTTGATTTGTTTGATGCGGCCAAGAGAGGGCTTAGCATAGGTGTTGGCTAAAATTGTACAGGCTTGTCTAGAGCTCTTGGTTTGACCTATGAAGGGAATAATGATGGGTGAGATGGAGCCAATGACAACGTTGAGGATCAGCTGGTCCTGTCTGGTCCATAGAATGTAATTGGGATTGGGTAGGTTTGTATTGGATTGGGTCAAGGTGGCTGGCGAACATGGTTTGGAGCCATCAATATAGTCAAGAAAGTCATAGCCAATGAAGAGTGTTTGGAACTGTAGTTTCCAAGAGAGGTAATTACTAGAGGTGAGTTTGAGAGGGGCTTGAGCAGCAAAGTTGATGTTGATAAGAATTTGGTGTGGTTCATTAGTGTTGAGGATGGTTGAAAGGTCAAATTTGGTAGCCATGAGTGTTGAAGAACAGAGGAAGAGGAAAAGAAAAAAAAATTGGATCGACTTATACCATTTGTGGTTGCTCTGATACCATAAAAGATGGTGGAAATCAATCGTATTTTTCATATACATTTTGCAACAGTTAAATACACAAGTGGGATAACAAACATTTGTTTGAGATCCTAAAATATAGAGTAGTTGGCAACTGTTTCCTAAATCTAATGAACAACAAGTTTGAATGAATTCAAATTTAGAGAAACTAACAGGCTGTTATGATTTGTTACAATCCTCTGATAGCGAACTCTTCAAAAAGTAAACCTCAAAATTTGAGGGACAAAAAACCTTGTACAAGAATAACAAATACAGGTCCATCTCAAGAACACAAGGCTCCTCAAGACTCTTCATCGGAAATCCCGACAAAACCATCTAGGAAGGAGAAAGGAAAATGGGTAAGGAAGACAAATATTCCAAACAGAGAGGAAAGCTGGAATATTATTGAGAAACCAGATGGCAGGAAACGAAAGTGGTCAGATGTGCAAAGGCCAAGTGATACAACTGGTGGGTTATTCTCTAATAAGAAATTACAAGCTCCAAGTAATACATCCTCTATTTCAATATAGGCAACGACTGTTGTGCAGTCCCGTCGAGAATCATGATTGGTGTTACATGGAACTTTTAAGGTTTGGGGAATCCTCGATTAGTTCGTGTTCTTCAAGATCTTTTGAAAAGGGAAAATCCCCATTAGGAGTTCCTGATAGAAACAAAATTGTTTTCTGCTAAATTTGAGTATATGAAGAGATGCATCGGGATGCCCCAAGGTTTGATAGTGGATTCTCATGGAAGAGCTGGGGGTCTAGCTTTACTATGGCACAGAGATGTCAATGTTAGTGTGAAGAGTTTTTCAAATTTCCCTGTGGAAGCGATTATTGATGAGAATACAGATGACCAATGGCGCTTGTGGGGTTCTATGGACATCCAGTAATAACAAATTGCAAGAATTCATGGGCATTACTTAGGAGGCTTTCTCTCGATTCGAGTTTGTCATGGGTTTGTGGTGGGAATTTCAATGAGATTATTTCAAATGATGAGAAAATTGGGGGTTGCAAATAGGCAAATTTGGCAGTAAAGATATTTTTATGATGCTATAGACAATTTGGTGGATTTAGGCTTCCAAGGTTACACTTATCCATGATGGAATGGTAGTGCAGTTCCTTTTTCAATTAAGGAAAGAATGAATAAAGTATGGGGCATAATGGATTGGATGAAAAAATTCCTTGAGAGTAGAGTGATCCATAGCCCAACATTGGAGTTTGACCACTATTTTACAGTTTTCCTTGTGATCAAGTCAGAAGAAAGAATATCTGGTAGAAAGGGATGAAATAAGAGGTTTCATTTTGAGTCTATGTGGCTTACTAATCCTACCTGCTATGATGTAATCCAACAAAGCTGGAAAGGCTATGAAGACTCCACAATGAAGTAGAGTTTTGATGAGAGAATCAGGAGCTGCATAATTGGTCTTTTGAAGTGGAAGAGTGATACACTTGTGCATGTTGGCCATCAATTGGAGATGAATAGAGCCAAACTTTCTCAAGTACAAGCTAATAAGATGACAAAGGAAAATAAAGTGAAACTCAGATCTATCAATGACAGTATGAATCAACTATCAGAGGCTAACGAGCTATTTTGGAAACAAAGATATAGAATCCCTTGGCTAAAGGAAAGAGACAAAAATACGAAGTATTTTCATAACCAGGGAAGTACGAGGAAGTGTTTGAATACTGTCAAAGGCCTATATGATGTGTATGGGTATTGGATAACTGATTAGGTAGAGATGGAGGCCAAAGTTGTGCATTATTTCCATGATTTGTTCACATCTAATCAGCCTACTTGTTTGGATCTTGGGGAAGTGCTTAGTTGTGTAGAGCCAAGTGTAACTGCTAAAATGAACCACTATCTCATAAAGGAATTTTGTCCAATTGAGGTATTGGAGGCATTGCAACATATGCATCCAACAAAGGGCCCTAAACCAAATGGTATGAACCCTCTCTTTTATCAAAAATTTTGAAGCATAGTTGGTGAAGATGTGACGAATCTGGTTTTACAAGTCTTAAACTCCTGAAGCTCTGTTTCCTCAATTAATAACACCCATATTGTTCTTATTCTAAAGGTGTCATATGCTAATAACTGATAATGTGTTAATAGCTTATGAGTTGAATTATCTCCTGAAGAATAAGAGGAAAGGCAAGAAGGGGTATATGTCTATTAAATTAGATATGAAAAAGGCATATGATCAAGTTGAATGGTTTTTCTTAGAGGCCATTATGAGAAAGATGGATTTTGCAGAGTATTGGATTGAAGTGGTTATGATTTTGTGTGAAAACTGTCACATACTCACTTATACTCAATGGTGAGCAGACTGGTTTTGTGAGGCCATCTAGGGGTCTGAGACAAGGTGACCCTCTGTCGCTTTATCTTTTTTTGCTTTGTTTGGAAAGTCTAACAACGTTACTAAGGAACAAGCAAGAAAGAGGATTTTTGGAAGGCGTCAAGGTTGGTTATAGAGATCCATTATTTTTGTATTTGTTATTTACAGATGATAGTCTTTTATTTGCAAGGTTTATTGTGAGTAGCTGCCACACCATCAATGATGTGTTAACAGTTTATAAAAAAGCTTTGCATCAATGCATCAATATCTCAAAATCAACTTTAGTCTTTAGCCCAAACGTGAGTATAACTGAGAGGGAAGATGTAGTTGAATCTTAACAAATTCCAATTGTAGATAAACATGAGAAGTACTTAGGTTTACCATCAATAGTTGAGAGTAATTTTGTTTGAGGCACTCCCAAATCTAGCGAGAAGTAGAGAGTCCAAAAACTTTAGAGAAAACTTGTTCAATGAGGGTAGCATTGATCATGCTTATAAGAGTTTGATCCATCTGAATCCAAGTAGTATAGGAAGGATTTGGAGTCATGTTCATGGAAGTATCATTTGAGAGAAACTGAGGTGGATAATGGTAAGATCAGTCAATGAAACGTCAATAATTTTGATCAATAAGAAAAGGCTTGATCTGCTTTTTCCAAAGAAAATAGTTGGTCTTTATTAATTTAATAGAGACAAGTGTTGCTATGTTGGGCACTGTAAGTGTACCTGTAGCAGATGAGGAAGAAGAGGAAGATGTGGGGACAGAAGCCTTGAATAAGTGATTGAAGAAGAAGTAATGGATAGAGAGGCAGATTGTACGCTCTGATACCATGGACATATTTCAGAAAATCACACTAATTATGTATTATTGACATTCAGATTTATCCGAAAGTATACAACAGTGATCTAGTGTAATCCCAAGATTTAAGGAATGTGATGAACCTAGAATTATGCAAACAATCCCAAGATTTAAGGGACATAATCAACCACGGAAGAAATAAATTTTGTTCTGGAAGATATGTCTGTAATATCGTACTTTATATATACATTTCTCGCTCCATCCTTTGTATCTAGCTTAGAATAAAAATCATGATATGCTATATATTTAGTGTCTCTTACTGCATTTTTAACTTCTTCAATTGCAAGCTTATATTGTTACAAATGTTCTTCATTTTTAGATTTTATACCATATTTTTTTAATCTTACTTTAGAGATCATTATTCCACCATTAAGTTTTTTAAGCTATCGGTCCCTTACTTTTTGATTCTCCAAGAACCTCTATTGATACTTCCCGCTATCTTATTCCACATTACATTAATTTCATCTTCTAAATTCTATATTGCTTCTTTTAGAATTTTAGCTTTAAATCAAACAAGTTTTTCTCCTTTTAAACACCACCACCTAATTCTTGGGTTTTTCATATTCTTGAATGAGTTTTGAGATTTATATCTAGTACCATTATCATATGTTGTGTGGTCAAACTCTCTCTTGCAATGACCTAACAGTCCTTGTATGATAAGCAATCTATTTTTTTACTTAAGAAAAAATCTATTTGACTTCTATTAAACCACTCTTAAAAAGTTATTAAATGTTTATCTCTTTTTTTGAAATAGGTGTTAGCGAGCATAAGGTTATATGTTATTGCAAAATCTAAAATTGTAATACTCCAAATCCATCAATAGACATGATCTAACTAATAACCTTTAAAATCGAGAAAGCATAACTAAAATACCATAAAATAAATCACTACCACAAATCTTCAACTTCATCTAAAGAAAACTTCCAAAACATACATCAACCATTAAAGGGTTATATCCCAAAATCTTAAATTAAAGCAAATATCTTTGACCTAACTAACTAATATTCAAAGATATAAATATTGTTCCATCATCAAAACCATGAAACTAAAACCAATAAATAAATCTATAAGCCTCAAAAGCTGGATCCACATCCCAATCTACTTCAACCTCCTAATCTTAGTGCTCACCCAAGCCAATATCCACTCAATACCCAAATTTAAAAAATGTAAAAGGAAATGGCGAGCAAAACTAGCCTAGTAGAGAAACTTTCCCTAACCGAAACAAGGGTTACAAAATAAATGAAACATGTAGGTCTCAATTTACAAAATAACATATATAGCTTTTCAAATAAGTCTTTGATATATGTAAGAAAAATTTTATCATAGAATGGATCATTCAATAAACAACATCATAACAAGAATATCTCATGTACGTGAGTTGATTAACAAGTATTCACACACCAAATATATACAAATCATCCAATCAATCCCTGCAGGGATTCAACATTCAAACCTCTCGAGATAAGAAACTCATCTAAGCACTCTGCGATATATGTTCAAGTGTATTCAAGATCATCACACCCACTCATAGAAGAGATAATGTTCATACTTTTTAAAAACATCCACGTGTACCACAAAACATAGTTCCAAAATTTTCAAAATGTAAAAAACTTTAAGAAAACATGCAAGAGATTGCCAATAAACATTATCAATTTGAACATATTCAAGATCTAGGATTTTGAATTAAAAACGTATAATTTGGATGTCAGTCGAGTATATTTTCAAGAAAATGCAGCATGTATTTGAAATGAATTCAAAATAGTTGTAAATCTATCATATATATTAGAATTAGAATAAAAAAATTACAAAATACTAGCCCTAGCCTCAATGAATAGGAAAAGGAAAGGAACCCTACTTAATTTCACAGATAATTACTCCTAAGGTGTTTGGTGCGATTGATTGTGTGTTGATCCTTTCAAGATCTAGCTCGACCTACTCTTATTCTGTCTTTTCTTCTCTCTAAGTCTCTACTATGCTCATTGAGGTTGAAAAGAATGTACATAAACTCCAAAACGCGGCCTTAGGGTATTTATAATGTAAAAAAGGAGGAAATCCTAAAAGCTGACTAGGGCTTTAACGATGCATTCAAATTATGGATTGGTGTCCAAACAGCACCAACTTCTAATATCATGTTTCTAATTGGTGTCCGGATAGTGGGCTTGGCTTCCGGACGCTACCAACTTATAGTTTCTAAAATCTCTCTCAACCTCCAACCCAATTTGGACCTATTTAAAAGTCGAATCATGAAATTTTTATGAAATACACTTTTATAGATCTTAAAGTATGCTTTCTAATTTCTTAAGAATTCTCACCAAAATAAGTTTTAACCCTGGAACATCTCCAAACTTTTAATATAACCCATATCACCTACTCCAAGGTTTCTCAACCTCCCAGATTCAATGATAATGTTATGTTGACCTATAAACATTTAAAAACTTATCTATCTACCCTTCTCAAGGTTAAACGTCTCCGAAACTAAATTTGATACCAATACGCGTGAAACTCATATCTCCATGACCAATCTTTCAACAACAATTCAAAGTTTCTATCATTATTTTAGTTATTTTAGAAGAACTCTTAAGATAATACTCTCCCTATTTAATTATAGTATGGGGTCTTACAAAAATAGACTATCCACCATCATTCTTATCTCCAAACCTATATCCACCACGAATCATCTCATGTCCTCATCAATTTTATCTATTGAAAGTATATATTAACAAAAATTCAATATAAAAATTTAATTAATATTTTCATATCCCAAAAAGTGTGAAAAATTACTTTTAAATAAATATAATTTAATATTTAATTAATTATATAATGTTGTTTACATTATTATGATAAACATTGATGGGCTCTCATCTAAAATTTTAAATTAGACCAAAAATTACATCAAGCCACCTAAGATTGAAGCAAAACACCTGTTCGTGGGTCGGGATTTGGGTAATAGTACATTCGAAGAAGAAATGTGGTTTCAACCTTCTAATAAAATAGTTAGAGTTAATTAAAAAACTCAGATTTGACTAAAAAAACTTCAAAGGTACACTTGATGTTAACACAAGCCCAATTACTCATCACGCATCATCTCTCAGATTTTGCTCTTGAATTGGGTTTCAACTCTCAGCTTTAATCTCAAATGGGAAAGGAAAATTATGGTTTCTATGTGGCACTTTAAGATGTAAAGCATTTATTAAAAATATGTAAAAACATCCCAATAGTCAGTAGTCCAAGAATCCATATAACCGTCATAATTAGAAACAATATTAATGTTACTATTAAATTAGAAAACAATGTTGGCATCGGTTATTTTAGTAGGGTTATTTTAGTTAATTAAAAGTATTATAAATCTATATAAGATTTAACGCTCAAATGAAAATATTTTCACACTTTCATTGCTTGATATGTGCACATGATGCATAAAATTACAATAAAGAGGTGATTGGTCTTATCCTTATCACAATGAGTCTTATCCTCATCACAATGAATGCAATTGAAATTGAAATTGAAATTTAAAAACTCAATCCTTATCTCTAACACGACCCCACAAGTGTAGCATCCCATTAAGGAGGCTAAGTTTGTCACGAAGAAGATGAAACTGAGGAGTCAACAACGATTTGGTGAAAATGTCTGCAGTTTGATCTTTGGTCGAGTGGTAACAAATTTCAAGGGTTCAGTTGGCTGCTTTATCATGGACAAAGTGAAAATCTATTTCAACATGCTTCATTCAATTGTGGAAGATCGGATGTGCAGAGAGGTACGCAGCACCCACATTATCACACCAGAGTCTGGGACAATTAGTTGTGTGGATATGGAGCTCCTGTAATAAGGATTGAATCTAAGTAATCTCTGTGATAGCATTGGCAAGGGAACGATATTCAGATTTTGTGTTTGAACAAGTAACTGATTTTTTGTTTGTGAGATTTAGTCCAAAAAAGATTGCATAACCACTACTAGTCTTTCGTTCATTCAAAATACTGGCCCAATCTGCGTCAAAGAATGCAGAGATGATGAAATTTGTGGAGCGACGAATGAGAAGACAAATATCAATGGTGTCCTTGAAATACCGTAGAATTCTTTTTATGGTGGTCCAATAGATATCGGTGGGGTGTTGCATATATTGATAGACTATGGTAATTGTAAAGGAGAGATCGATCCGGGTTATGGTTACATGTTGTGAAGCACCGATAACACTTCTATACAATTGAGCATCATGAAATGGATCATCTTCATTACGCCGAAGCTTGACAGTTGGGGCAAAGGGGTTTAAGAGCGGTTTAGCAGCATCCATATGACATTTCTTGAGGAGTTCGACAATATATTAGCATTGGGACAACAATAATCCATGAAAGGTATGGACAACTTCGATACCCAAGAAGAAGTTGAGGGTACCCAAATCTTTAGTGGCAAATTCCAAGCCAAGCTGAGAGATAAGATCACGAGTGGATGATAGGGAGCTTCTTGTGATGATAAAGTCATCAACATAAACAAGAATATATGTGACGGGTGTTTAAGCCCATAAAAATACTTCCAAAGGCAAAAAACATAATGCGGATGATTGGAGTTGACAAAACCCAGTGATTGCTTCATGTAAACATCCTCATTGAGAGTATTATGGAGGAAGGCATTATTTATATCAAGTTGCCGAATAGGCCAATTATGAGAAGTGGCCAGACATAAAACAGTTCGGAGAGTGACTGGTTTCACTATCAGACTAAATGTTTAGGTATAATCAACACCTTCTCATTAATTAAATCCTTTGGTGACAAGACGAGCTTGGTAGTGTTCAATGGTTCCATTAGCTTGTTTTTTGATGCAAAAAATCCATGTGCAACCAACTAGATTTTGGTTGGGTTTAGGTGGCTCAAGCGTTATGTGCCATTCTTGAGTAAGACATGAATCTCATCAACCATAGCAACACGCCAGTGGGGGAATTTAGAGGCTATAGTGGCCAATTTTGGGACAAGATCAGTGGTTGGGTGGACAACGTAACACTGAGGTAATGGGTATTTAGTTTGAGCATGTACAACTTTCAGATCTTGAGTCCGAGTGATCATTGGACAGGTACGAGTTAGGTTGGCTACTTGATGGTGAGTATCAAGAGGATTGGAGAAGGAAGATGGTAAAGGATTTGGCAATAAGGTGGAGTTGGGTAAGGACCCATCTGCAAAGGTAGGTAAAGAGTCGACACACTCAGTTGTGGAAGGAAGGGGGTTGTAGCAGTAGTGGGCAGTGATGGTGGGTCTAAGATTCCAGTAGAAGCGAGAGTATGTGGCTGGACAAAATATTGTGAGGGTGGCGACACAACTGGGTTTGTAGGAGGTGAAAGCATTGTATGGGTAGGAGGGAAGTTAAACAAAGGTATAGTGGGCAAGCCTGGAATATGTTGTGGGCTAGATGAGGTAGAACGGGGAGATGGACTCGCAAAAGGAAACATTGTTTCATTGAAAACAACATCGTGAGAGATGTAAATGCGATTAATTGCTAGATTCAAACACCGATAGCCATGATGGAAGGGACTGTAGCCAAGAAAAACACACGGTGTAGATCTGTAGTCCAACTTGTGACCCCGGTACGACCTAAGACAAGGATAACAGAGGCAATCAAATACTTTCATAAATTTATAATCCAGCAGTTTGTGAAAGAGCTTCTCCAATGGTGACATATTGACAATGACCTTAGATGGAAGCCGGTTAATGAGATACACTGCAGATTCAAAAGCAAAGTCCCAAAAATGTTGCAACACAGTGGAATGTGCCAATAAAGGCAATCCAGTTTCAACAATGTGACGATGTCTCCTTTCGACAACTCCATTCTTTTAATGGGTATCAGGACAAGAAAGGTGATGGCCAATACCACATGAGGTAAGATAACAAGAGATGCGGCGATACTCACCACCTCAATCACTGTGCAAATATTTGATCTGTGCTTGAAGTAAATTTTCAACCAAAGACTTGAATTTGATGAAACACGCTAAAGTATCACTTTTATTTGTAATAGAGAAAATCCAAGTGAATTTGCTAAAGGCATCAATAACAATTTTATAAAATTTGTTGCCACTAAACAAAGCCAACAATGTCGTTCCCCAAACATCAAAGTACACAATCTCTAGTGGTGCAGAAACTGGGGTGGAAATGGAGGGAAAGGTAGAGACTGACTCTTTGCCCGCTGACATGCATCACAGATGTGGCTAGAATTAATGTGTCGAAACGGAGTGCCAAGCTACGTCAGGACATTGCGAACAACTCAAAAGGTGGGGTGACCAAGATGTTCATGCCATGGGTCTACTACATCATGAAGAAATGCGACTTTATTGGAATCTTGAGTCAAATGAAGCTTGTAAAGGTCATTATTGCTCAGTCCTCATAGAAGAACTCTCGTCGTGTGGAAGAACTTGACACAAAAATAAGAAGGATAGAATTCGAAGACACAATTATTATTATTGGCAAATTTAATCACAAAAATTAGATTTTGTTGCACTAGTGGCACATGAAGGATATCATTGAGTGCAAGATCAGTAGATGGAGTACTAATGGTGGACAAACCAATGTGATGTATTCTCAAACCTGTCCCATTACCTATCTTAATAGTGTTAGAGCCATGGTAGCCAGAAATGAAATTGAGATTAGCCAAGTCGATCCAAAGTGATGTGATGAGTAGCACCCGAGTCATGATACCAATTACTTGTCGAAGGTGCAGCAGTAGTAGCATTGTAAGCATGGGCTAAAGAGGGGGAGGCACATATTTGAAGGCCTCATTGAAATGTTTATGGCATCGGAGGGAAATATGGCCTATGCGGTTGCAAACTTGACACATGGGTCAAGAACTGTACATGGAGGATGAAGAGTTGTGGGTGCGTGACTGGCCAGAGAATGGATGGCGCACACAATTGCGAACACGTCCTCGTAAACCTCGAAAGCCATGGTCAACTGGCTGGCCATGATTAGTGGGCTATCCACGGCCGCCCCCTTAGGGGAGAGGAAATGGAATGATGTGCAACATTGGTAATAGGTGGAGCTAGTGAAAAATCAGTGGCAATAACATCTTGGTTGAGGCAAAATTCCTCTATAAGAAGAAAGCCAAGAAGGGAAGAATGGGACACACCATCTAATAGAGTATAGATGGATGTGCGAAAAGGGCCATACTCGCATGGCAGGCCGCCTAAGACGTATAGAATGAGATCTTCATTAGCGACCCGTCGTGAGGCCATTACAAGTTGATGGGCCAAATTTTTTGTTCAATAGAAGTATTTCGTAATCGAGTTAGGGCCTTTTTTAAGGCATTGTAACTCCATTCAGAGTTGTAAAATGCGAGCCTTAGAATGAGAGGCGATGGAGGTCTCAAGAGCGGTCCATACAGCTCGAGAAGTTGGGAGACCAAGTACTTGAGCATAAATGTCTTCGGATAGAGAAAATAATAACTAGCCAAGAAGAGGACATATAAAGCGATTCAAGTTAATAAGAGAGGACATATAAAGCGAGAATGTCCTAAGTGGAAGAATGGTAAAGGAACGGAAGAAAAGAAAGAAGGACCGCCAAATTCAGCAAATCTAGCATACGAGGTTCTAACTATGGCTATGATGATGTGATGTCGATCTCAACAAATTAAGATCAAATGGTGGACTCATTGATGTTGGATTCTACGTGTTCTTACGTCTCAATGGAGACTGGTTCGACACATGCATGCCGGTAAATTATGGTACTGTTCCAATGGATAACGATGCATAATATAAACTTATTAGAATAGACACAATTAGGATCTATATGTCTGATGGTATCATAAGACCTTTGTATGAGGTTAGGCATCATATTTGAGGAAAAAATCTAATTTATTTCAAAACCTTAGACTCCAGTAAGTATAATTATAAGGCAAAAGGTGGGGTCTTGAAGGTAACCAAAGGTTCCATGGTTGTTATGAAATGTCAGATGATTGCAGGAAATATCTAGAAGTTGGTAGGGAGTTCTATTTTAGGTGGAGTTTCTGCAGGTACATCTTCTGAGCTTAAAACGTATGACACTCTATTATGGCATATGCAATGATGGAGCTGCATAAAAGGAAGTTGTTATAGAGGTTAAATCATTTGTTATAGGGGGTTAAATCATGTAAGCTAGATTTTCACAAGTATTATGCTCTAGGAAAATAGTGTAAGGTTCAATTCAAATATGTCAAGCACAAGATTGAGGGCATCCTGGATTGCATACACTCTAATGTTTAGGGGGTAGTGAAAGTAGCTTTAAAGGGAGGATATATGGATTTTAGTAATTTCCTTGATTATTATTCTAGGAAGTTTCAGGTTTACTTCAATAAGAATAAGTCAGAAACTATTACAAAGTTCAAAATATGAAAAACTAAAGTGGAAAAACCAAATTGGGAAGAAGATTAAGTACCTCAGAACAAATACTGGGATAGAATATTAGGACGTTGAGTTCATGAAGTTCTGTGAGGAGCATGACATCATGATACATCTTATAGTTTGTGAGACACCTTAGTAGAATAGAGTACCAGAAAGGTTCACTAGAATAATTGTAGAAAGGGATAGATGCTTGAGAATGAATGTTGGGCTTCCAAAGAATTCTTGGGCCGAGACTATGCACATGGTCTATTACATCATTAATAGATCACCAAGGGCTGCATTGGATGGGAATCTTTTAGATGAGGGATAGACAGGGGAAGAAGTAGACTACTCCATGTTTGAAGTATTCTAGTGTCCTACTTATGTTCATATTTCTAGTGATGAAAGATCAAATCTTGACCCAAAATCCAAGAGATGTATCTTTCTCAGGTAATAGAAAGGGGTACAAGCAATGGGATCTAGGAACACAAATGGTGGTGATCAATAGAGATGTGGTATTTGAGGTTTTAGATCCTCTCTATTACACTTTTACTCAATTTCACTCAATGGTAAATTGTGCTTTGGGAAAATAGTGTAAGGTTCAATTCAAATCTGCCAAGCACAATATCGAGGGCATCCAAAGGTCAAATCTTGACCCAAAATCTAAGAGATGTATCTTTCTCAGATAATAGAAAGGGGTTCAGAGGTACAAGTTGTGGGACCTAGGAGCACAAATGGTGATGATCAGTAGAGATGTGGTATTTGAGGTTTTAGATTCTCTCCATTACACTTTTACTCAATTTCACTCGATGATAAATTATCAACCGTGTATGGGTGAGAGGTTTACACATGAATAGTAGGTCAAACTTGAGTACATGGTGAATGATCTACCATAGAGTAAAATTGTGTGAAAAAATAATGTAGAAGATCTCAATCAAAAGACGTGAAGTGGGTATTTGAATTATTGTGTAAATATGGTAGAGCTAGATATGGATGAGGAAGAGTTTGTGATAGAGTAGTTGGCTGGGCAGTTAGAAGGAGATGGATGAAAATCCGAATTGTGGGTTAGTCTGGATAGATGTGAAAACAGAAAATATGAATTGAGTAAGGGTGGTCATGGGAAATGGAAGAGATTGAGAATGAGACTAATGTGAGAGGTGGAGCTTGTGAGAGTCTAATATGGGAAAGAACTCTCATAAAATGTAACACGACGAGATATATGGATTTTGTTGGTGAGGGGATTTAGACACCTGTAGCCATTATATCGATCTAAAAATATGCAAATGGTAGACATAGGTACTAGTTTGTGTGCATTTGGTAGAACTTAAGTTTGGATAAAATGTGTGTGTAGGATGGTTGTCTCTAGTGTAAGATTGCGACAAGGCCTTTCTGAATAAGGACCTGATTGGGTAGAATAATAAGAAGAAGATGAATAGCAACATGAAATGCTTCAACCAAAAACTTGGAAGGGGGTAAAGCTTGAAATAGAAGAGAACAGATCATGTTCAAAATGGTTCCATGCATGCACTTTGCCATACCATTCGGTTGATGAGTGTGAGGGCAAGAAATGCATAATTGTGTGCCACACATGTTAAAAATCGTAGAATTATGATTATTATATTAATGACCACCATCACATTGAAAGGATCTAATTTGAGTGTTGTATTGAGTTGCAGCAAATTGCTGAAAAATCTAAAATTTAGAAAGGACTTCAGTTTTTTTTTTTCGCAAAGAGCATACACCCAATAAAATTGTGAATGATCATCCAAGAAATCCGATCAAAAAAAAATCATCCAAGAAAATTACATAATAGCAAAAATTAGTAAAAGAATTTAATGGTGAAGTCCAAATTTCTGAATAAATAAAATTGAAAACATGAGCATAATTTTGATTGGAATTGGGAAAGGGAAGCCTAGTGCTCTTGCAAACTTGGCATGCATGGCAAGGAGATTTTTTGAGATGGGAACTGGAGGAAGGCACAACTTTATTTTGCAATAAGTATGATAATATATCACCTGGAGTCCTGGTCTTCCTGTGAGGCTTCTTGTTTATTATGGTGGCCTCCTGATGCTTTCTTTCCTGCTGATGCTTGGATTGGAGGATCCTTTTTTTGGGCATTCAAGGAAGAAA